ACACACACACACACAGACAACCTCTCGTCAATATGCGTTTTCTGCATTGCATAGCTGCAAAAACCCCATAATTTAGCATGCATTTCCAGCCTCAAACTTTTGCTGCAAAAAAATTTTAATATTTTACCAGTAAGATGACTACTGGGCGTGAAGCTGGGAAAAGGACTTTTACAATTTCGGTTGCTCACTGAATACTCAGAATACCGGGGGAAGTAAATGCAATAAATCTGAAAAGTATTAGAAATATAAAAGCACAGGCGTGTCCTAATATAGTTTCTACAAATAAAATTGAAAAAAGTTTACCATCAGAAAAAATGTCATCCTCTGCAGCCTCGAAGAGTATCTGCTGCTCATCCTCCGATATATTGGTTGCAACAGACATCGTTTCATCGGCTGTACTGGCCACATCTAAAGTGAAATTGAAAATCAAAAAAAAAAAACATATCGAAACTCGAAAAAACTTCGAAAAATCCACAGAAGTGCTAAAGATTAAGAAATTTTTGGCCTTCATTTCCAATTTAGTAGGGGAATAGAAACATATAGTGAACCGCTGTCTGAATGTAGCGTGAATTCCGGAAAAGTATCCAAATCAGCGTTGTGTTTGGGTGCAACAATTTGTGATGTTGTTGTTAGCGTTGAAAGAGCTGGCGCCTTTTCTTTTGAACAGTTGCCAGATGGTGCAGGATACGAGGGAAGAAATTCCCTGCATATATCTGCAAAAAATATTGCGTAAGAGTGATTGCGAGCGAAATTTTTAATGAAAAATTTTTTCTGAAAATCAGTACGCCGATTTTTCAAATTCTTATAACAGAATAAACTCGGTACTGAATAAAAAAATATTTCTGTATTTGTCCCCTATCAAAGCCTCTCGTAATACACTTTCTTAGAAAGGCCGGAGTAACAGCACATGCCAGGTTTTATACTAGTTGGTAAGGATGAAAATGACTTCCTCGTCCAAGCACTGCTTACAAAAAGACTGTGATGGCTTTTCGATTCTCATGCACATGGCAGTACTGGTTAATTGTTGAAATAAATAAACAAATCGTAAAAAGGCTGGTTTTCTACTGACAAAGCTGGACGCCTGACCTTTGACATAAGAGCAGCGAAACTTGTTAGTTCACCACGCCTGCTATCTGACCTACTTCAGTGATGAATGAAACAATCATACACGAAAAAGACAGGCAAGTCTTACCAATTAGTTAGAAAACTGCAGCTACTTCCGTTGGTCAGCTGCGGATTTCTGATTAAAAAAATAACAAAAAAGGAAAAAAAACAGAAACTGAAACAGCAACAGGCTAATCAGCAAAGTGCTGGTAATGATGATCTGCAGCCGGGCAAACCGACTAGCAAGTCGCAGTGTGTAGTTATACCCAAACATACAAACAGCACTGTTAATAAGCAATTCGCTGAACAAAAACTTGCGCAAAGTATGCAAATCAACTAGCCTTGACGAGAGAAAAAAGTTTTACGACAAATTCCTTAGTTCTCCGAAAATCAAAAAACTTGATCGGACGTAAGAAATGAGTTTAAAGAGAATGAAACACAGTCTAAAGAAGCAAAGAGAGCTTAGCTAGTTTAATGTTTTGTTTAACTCGCCTGAAAATTGCCAGAGCTTGATTCGGAAATTAATTTTCTTGTTAATAACGTATTTGCTAAAAATGAAAATGACCGATGGGAAATCGGCTACTGTATCAACGAACCAGTAGCTGTACAGAATAAAAGCAGCGAGGAAGGAAACGGGATACAAAAACAATGTTGATCCAGCTTGTGCCTTAAACGAATCAGAACTGTGTAAAGAACAGCTCGGTCATTTTTCCAAACCAGTCCAGACCCAAAATTAGCTCAAATATGACTGGCTCTGCGTTTTATACTATTATGATTAAAAAGAAGTAGTTTTGAAATTTTTCATTTAATCCCATTTTTGAAAATTTTCAGTTTTGGACAACACTGCTCTTCTTTGTAAAATGCTACCCTAAAAGCCTCCAAAACCCCGCTTCCCCTCTTTGTTTCTGCTTTGTAAACTTCAGTTTTGTGAGTTTGAAGCTCATAAAACAGTCAAAAAAGTTTTCGAATTAAGCTGTTACTTGATACAAAATATCAGTGAGCTACGCAAAATTGCAGGAAAAAACAACTTTACAGCGCTTTTGTTGAAAGTTTGAAACAATCAGGTGTTGCTACTTGGATCGAATGAGTCGTTGACTACTTTTGTTCATGTGTCTGTTTGCAGTAAAGCGAAAGTGAATAAACGAAAAATGATCGTTTTATTGCTGCTGTGTATTCTTTCACTGACCAGTGGCTACCAGTGTCCAGATAATCTAAAGGTTCATTAAAACAATAGTACATTGAATATGCTTAGACTCAGACTAATTTCAGAGTATGCTGAGCCACAAATCTGAAATTTGTCTTGTAGGGCTCAAAGTCAGATTTTGAACTTTCGTATGCAGATAACAAAACTGTGATTTCTTGTCCAAATGCTGGATGGTGCTACAGCTCAGGACCCGAAAGTTCATTGCATTTCATGGAATAAGTACTTTAAAAGAAGTGGAACCAATCTTGTGTTTTTGTCGTATTATTACAGCGGTTCAACACAAAAACGCGTAACTGCCCCGCCATCCCAGTGCATGGAAAAAGTTGATGATTATTAAAACGTCAATTACGGAATATACAAAGCAATTTCTCATACATCAAAATAAATTTTTTTTAGCTAGTGGTTGTCTTTCCCATACGAAGTTTTCCAAAAAAAAAAAAAACGTTCCCTCTTTTCTGCCTTCCCTTTTCCTCTCACCCTGCCTTCTGAAGAAAATTTTAGTTGTACCACTAAATGTCAGTTCAGTTAAACAGATTTTTGCTTTATTCGACAATTTACATGTGGCGAGATTTTTCAGGCCATTTGTGAATGTACCACAAACACACTGGAAATTTCTATTATTTGCAATGGAGGAAAATCAATGGAAGAGGTACTTAGTATTCTTAGCAGCATAACGCAACCTATCGATGAACTTACTATTATTAATACACCCGCCAGTGAGGTAAATTTGTTGTTTGAGTTAAACTCTGGTTGCATTTTCTGATAATGTTAATATCTGGCGGAATTTCACAATATTATACTCAATGAACTCCTACGATTTGAAACCGCTCTTTAAATTTCTCTATTCGAAAACTATTCCAAAGCACCTCTTTTTACTAATAAACAAATCCTGTCGAAAAAAGTGTCAGAAGAAGCCGACAGATTTTTAAAAAGTAGAAGCACAGCACACCTTCAAAAAGAAAAATTTGGAAGGTGGCCAAAACTTCAGCCACTGTCTAAGAAAATGCCTGTAATGAAATGTATCCGCAATCTGCACCGAAACTGCGAAATATAGAAGTTTAAAAGCAGTTGGGCAAATTTCAGATAACCGATTATACATTCCATGATTTATCAGTCAGAAAACTGCGCCTGAACGGAAATAACTTGGAAAAAATCCACGAAGCCGCATTTGCTGGTCCACTACTGGACAGTATAATTGCACTGGACATTAGTGATAACAAACTCCACACTACCATACAGCCAGGAATTTCAGCGCTCCGCAACTTGCAGATTCTAAATTTAAGCAATAATTCGATCATCAGTCTTCCGCCCAATGCATTTTCAAAATATCAAAGCCGATTTTCTCTTAAGGAGTTGGATCTCAGTGTTAATCAGCTCACCGAAATTTCCAGCCATGCATTTTCGGGATTAGAAATGCTTCAGTTACTGGCACTCACTGAAAATACTCTCAAACTCATACCCAGTGACGCTCTGAAAGCACTGCCAACGCTGGAAAGTTTGCTGTTGTCAGCAAATCAATTTGAATTTGTTCCTGCTGATGCACTACCACTACCTAATCTTAAATCGATCAGTCTGGAAGCAAATCTGGTAAGTGTCAGCGCGTACGCTGGCTTGTGCTCCTAAAACTCCAAGTTTGAACTTTTTTGGTTCTTGAAATATAAAATTTGTCCCAGTTTGGGTCCGACGTCAAGAATCAGAGCAGAGAGCGCCTTGAACATAGTCTGAAGGTTTGTGGCCTCGTGAGCTTTCTTCGCATTCCTATTTTTCACAATTGAACACGCATACAAACATGCAAGAAATTTAGTGGGTTTTGTTGCATCAATTTTGCAGAAACTTATATTCAAACGGGCAAACGTGAGCAGGTAAATTATAGTTTTCTGAGATGCAAAATAACGGATTTTTAAAAAAATAGAAATTCAAGAAGGGATAAGAAATAGGTTCGCAAATCAAAAGTGGCGGAAACTTGTAAGAGCCTGCGGGCCGATGCAAACCTGACTTTTACGGCAGTTATTTTGCGTAAAAATTCGGAAGTTTGATCTATGCTGACAGCATATTCCTGCAGTCTGATCCCAGCTGCGAGGAACCACAGGCAGTTGCGTGTGGCTGCCCTCGAAAGAGAAGAGAGAGAAACAGATGGCAGAAAGAAGGTATTTTTTTAAACGGTCGGTAATGTGGAGTAAAAATTCGAGCTGGTTTTAAAAACCAATTTTTTTAAAAAAAAAAATCGCGACTGATTTCGTCGAATTTCTCACTGAAAATAGTGTTTCAAATGCCCTCTAATGAGATTTTGGTTTGGGACTCTGAAACTTCGCTTGTGGTAGCGAGAATGAATGCAGTGTATTTGAGAATTGAATTTTTATCCAAAACTAGCAAAATGTAGAGCACAGTCGAAGTGCTGAGTTCGTTCAGATATCCAAAATTTCTGTGGACGCTTTCCGACAAAATCCACAGCTTTCCTCAATCTATTTGAACAGCAACCAGCTAAGCCACATTGCGCCACAGCTTTTTCGACCAGTGCCACAGCTACGAATCTTAAACATGGGAAGCAACGAGCTACTGACAACAATCGCAAACAACAGTAAGTCAGGTTTTGTAAATCCTTAGCATGGATTTTTAACCACATATGGCTGGGTAATGAGCTGCTAAAACTTTCCTTATTTATGCATTTCTCAATCGCACTGCAACGGGTTTTCTCAGTTCCTGTGTGAGCGCTTGTCCACTTAACTTTCCATAGAACAACTTCATTCAAGGACTACTTATGCTTGGAAACTGGAATTTTGGTAATACGACTGTTCACTACGTATGGCCATGAATTTGAAGCAAACTTTCGTGCATCATGACTAACAACTGAGGCATGAATTCTGGCTATTATCCAGAGGAAAAAAAAGCGTAGATAAGAAAATTCTGGTAGGCTAGCTCAACAGATAATATAAGATGAACAGACTAAAATGAGGCCCCAAATGCACGGTATATGAGATTACGAGTCCTGGCCTAGGATCAGGCAAATTTTAAAACGACAGAGGCAGCTAGAATTTTGGATTTTCTGTTAACCTCGCAAGACTATATCAGTAGCTCGAAATCGACTTTAAAATCTTACTGTTTTCATTCTTTTGATCACACTTCCAAATAAAGGATAGTATTGGAATCTTGAAATGAAGAACATTGCAGAAACGATATTCTTTACTTCTTACGCACTACAGAGATTGAAGGATCACTGTGAATTCATGTCTTTGTTAGCTTATAAGCTGTTACAGCTCATTTTAAAAACCTGAGATATGTCGGCTATGTGCTCATGTCACCTTCTTTTAATCCGCCCGGGATTAACTTAATTTTAGCGTTTCAATATCTGAAAGAGCTAATGCGACTGGATTTATCGGATTGCAAAATTGAGACAGTCGAAAACAGCGCTTTCCAACAACTACAGCAACTGAAAATCATCAACCTACGTGGAAACCGCCTTAAAAAGTATAATTTCTGTTTTAAAAAAATTTATATTATACGGGACGTTTTGTCAGTCAATCGCAAATCCACTTTGAAAACATCTCTTACACAAACTTTTAATGTAGATTTTTGAGTTAAAAAGCGGTTCGAATTTCTTTCCCAAAGAGAAGTGGAAAATAAAAAAGTTAAAGTTTCAGAGTGGGTCAAATTTTCAATGGACTACAACTTTTAATGACAGCCGATCTCAGCAATAACGAGGCAAGCCCAGTTTTTACAAATGGCATCCAGTTCTCCTCTAAAACTCAGAGCAGGTGTTACGAATTTTTCAGTTTTTAGATAAGCCAAGTGGGAAATTTCGCATTCAGCAATCTTACTTCAATAAATCATGTGGATCTTAGCGGAAACAAGCTAAAAGCACTTCCAGAACTGGCATTTCAAGGAACGTTAAAAGCAACCTGGCCATCAACAACGCGTGATTTATACATCTATGGTAAGCAATACGTTGTTTTAAAAGCCAAAGACACAACACCAAGAAAAAAAAAATTATTGCAGTCTGCTTAGTAATGTTTGCAGTTGATATGTGCTGCAACTAAACGCGAAGAGTTTGTACTACAGGATGAAAATATTCCCATGATTTCGCAAAAAAAAAGTATAAATTAGACTCAGATTAGTTTTTTTTTTTTTGAAATAAATAATTTTTACAGATAATCCATGGACATGTGACCAAGGGCTAAAATGGCTGCAAAAATGGCTTAAAGAAGACGAAAGCATACACATCACTGCACCTGGATATCCGCCTGCAAAGTACGATGCCTTACAGTTAAATAGCGAGACGGAGAAAGAACGGAGAGTAAAACGAGTAACCTTGCAAAACGGGTGTCAGATAGTCCGAAAACGAAAAATATGCCAATACTTTAATAAATCAGTAAAAAAAACATCCGAAAAATAGGAAACTGTTATAAAATAGCAAAAAAATCAGAAAATTTAGCACTGGGGCGACAGAAAAAAGGCCAGATCGAAGCAAAATGGAAGCAATAATGGGGAAAGAACAGAACTTTGCTTAAAGCACGTCGTAACTAAGGTTCGGTCCCTCTTATTACATCGAAGTAGCAGGAAGCCATCAAATGAGCAAGTCAAAAAGAGTTCAAAATCCTAAGATAATTGAGTGAAGCAAAAAACTGTTATTTGCAGATGTCAGGAACCACCCAGTTTACGTGGTAACGATATCCGGAATGTGATCCTTTTGGGGTCAAGTTCAGTCAGTTCATCGTCGGCATTCGCAAATTCCAATACAACAGCAAGATCAAAGAACAATTACGTTGAACAAGTGAGCTGGCAAATAACACTACAGCCTATCAAACCAAAATTTCCAAAAAATTCTCCGGGATCAGTCTCAGACGGTAATTGGGAAAAATTCAAAAATAAACAATATTTATCAAAAATAACCGTATGGGACACAACGGGAGTGCCATTCGACTCGATGCTCTTCGCAACGCCTAGCAACACAGATCCAGGAACGGATGACGACGTGAAAGAACAGACGAAAGCAACTACAGTGATAGTTGTAATATGTGAGTCATTTATCTGCTAAAACTTAAAACAAAGTTTTTTTTTTTTTGCAGGACCAAATTTTATCTTTTCTGGAACAACAAAATTTCTACTTCAAACTGAAAACTTCAACCGTGTTCAAATAAAGAATAAGACAGAGGTACTAGCATGGGTTTACTTCAAGCCAGTAAGCTAAGTACCAGTATTTGCAGTGGCAGTGCTTAGTGGTGTTGCCGTATGTGGCACTTCGCTGCTTGTAACTGCATATTCGATGAGACGACAAAAGAGAAGAATCTCAGACAATGATGCTTCCTGTTCAACCATATTTGGCTCATATCCATTGTACGATTTTGATGTTTTTAACAAGGATTCACGGATTCATGCAAAATATGATCGCCGAAAAAGGCCGAAAAATTTTCTTAAAATGGCATATAAGTGGCTTTGAAAATGCTAGTTACAGTGTTTGAATTCATTTGTATGCTCAAAAAATCTTCACTGTGTGTATGTCCCCCTCCAGTGTTTTTCGAACGTTCTTCAAAGACAAATTTTGAAAAAAAAATTATGGAAAATAAAAACTTACAAAAAACAGTGATATAGGGGCAAAATTATAAATCCTAATAGAACAGATGAATTGATGAGCTTTAGGTAGAGGTGAAGAAAAGCTGCTGTTTTTATCATTTGCAAAAACACATTCTGAAAAACTGAGCTGCCCACTGCAGTAAAATGTGTTGCTGCATCGCATATGTTGAAATTTAAAAATATGTCTGAATATGAGTGAATTCCTCGCAAAAGTAAATAATAAAAGTGACGAGGACATAACGGCACTAGAACTGGCCGCTGGTTTGCACAATTATTGCGGGGATGTGGTGAGGTGAAGAGCAGCACGCACTCACTACAAGCATCTTGTAAAAATTTCAATAATCAAATTCACAGTGTCACACACAGCTGCGAGAAGCACTTCACCGATCGAGCTTATTTCAGCGCGAACTTTTCTTAAAATGTTTAATCGACTTCCCAACAATGCTATTTGTGAATGGAGGAACAAGAAGCGGAGGGAGGGAAGTGAGTGAAAAGTGGAACACCGCCCAAAATTGCTGTCAAAAATACGACCTGACCGAGTAAGGGACACCACCATTCGACAGGTGCCCTCCCCCACCCCCTTCACCTCGCTGCCAACAATTAATTCAAATTTTCGGTGGCATCTTTACAAATTCTTAAATGCGCCGCATTTATTCAGTGCGCGCTCGCTGTTCACTTGCTCTCTTCTTCCCCACCTCTGCCTCTCAAACAACTGTAATTTGACGTCACGAATGCGGCTCGGTTACTAGACCAGCAGTTCCAATTCGTCAGAGAGGTATAAGGGAATGAGGGAAGAGGAGAGCTGGGAAAAGAGGAGGGGCTTAGACGAGAACGTCAAACGTCAATTTGTGATTTGGGGGGAGGGGACGGAATAAGGGCTGCAAACCACATTATACAGTTACCACTGCTGGGAGTATCAAACCGTTGGGAAGGCGAGGGGTTATTGACATGAGTGAGTTGTAGGGCCGATTAATGGCTGTGCGGTCTGATTCGGGTACGGGTAGCAGCTGACCCGGTGACCCAAATCCCGGGGTGCCTACTCGGGCAACAGGACAGTGACTAACCGTGCGTCAAGCCACCTTTTGAACTCAGTTACTTTCACCGCTTTCATTCTTCAGGTTCCTAACTGCAGAAAGAATGCTTAAGCTTGCGTGTCGGCCAGTGATTTAGCTTTATGAGTGCTCCGGAAAAAAAAAAAACTTGAATTTCTTGAGCATTTTCAATGCTGATATCATATTTATCAATTTGCCTGTTGGCTGTCCACCTGTGAGTTGATCTCGTCATTGCGCCAACAAGCGAATTTTCTATTTTGGAAATTTAAATTTGTTTTCCACTTTTACTTCTGTGCTTCACGATCTATGCCAATCATGCTCAGTGAAAAGCAATCAGTATATTTAACATGCATTTTCCTTGACGTTCATTTTACGAGGCAAAAAAAATTGGAAAATTTCACTTATCATTTGCATCTTCACTGTACGAAATATTACAATCAACGGATGGGCGGATTGTAATATCACCTTCTAAAGTCTTCTATTTTATTCCCATTACAGTACCCTGTTAAAAAATGCTTTACATCGATTAACCATCTTTCACTTAATGAAAATGCTCTAAGCCAAGGCAAATTATAGAATAAAATTTTCACAAAACGATTTAGGAACAGAGGAAAAAATGCAGCCAAAATAGCGGCTGCATAATTACCACGACCCAGCCGATGCTAAGAAATTTAAAAAGCGAGCAATTGGTTGATACCCGACTAATATCTCGGCGTTTAGTAATAAAATCCTGAAGAGTGTATTCGATGAAAAAACAATTTAAGAATCCCAACCAGAAAAAAGTCTGAACTGAAACAAATACGGCGATCTGCGGGAAACAGGTTTCCTACAGTGCCTGACCAACGTTAAGCTTCAAAACCGAAGATTCTCCCGTACGAATTTCATACATGCCCTAGGATGCTCCTTCGCCAGGTCCCCAGCATGCGACGGGTCGGAACAGCGGGGATCGCGAGGCAGGGAAGTTAGCGGAAGAAAGAAAAGAACGGAAAGTGTAGGCATTGGAAATTTCCCGCAGTAAGCTATTTAAATATGTTCAAAACGCTGGTTCCTGCGATGTGTTATAAAGTTTTAAAATGTACTGCACTAAGAAAAATGCCGTATGAAGCCATTTTTTCGAATACTGTTCTTGCCGGTACCAAAAGAGTATTAACTCACGCTCATTCCTTCATGAATAGTGAATGTATGAGGAAGAACTACCGGTCAGAAATGAAATTAAATTTTATCTTTTCAGTGTTATGCATGCAATGTGAGAAGAAAGGAATTACTGTTTTTTGGGTCAATGAAATTTCCTCACTATCGATGCACACAAGCATACACAAACATGCACAGATATACAAACACACAACAATCACATTCACATCTCTTTCATGCACATACACATATTTATCTTATTTAAACGAAATATGCGTAGCTGATTAGCTGTATGTAAATATGTGTGCCCGAAATTGCGCGTGTGCCTGTAACAGTTGAAAGCATTTTAATGAAAACAGAATTTTCTTTTTTTTTTTTTCGCGTGTAATGATACATAGTATTTCGTAAGCAAACTGTAGTTTCATTTCTCAGTCCACTACATAGTTTTATCTTACAAATATTTCTACATAAATCACATACTTTTCCACCTGAAATTGGATTTTTGAAACTGTCCAGGTGGACTGCGCAAAGGATCATCAAATCCGAGGTAAAAATCAATTTTCAACAATAATTTCATTTATTTTTCCAGAAATTTTGCGAACCAGCTCTTCAGATTCCGAACATTGCTAGCCCGGAGCAGTGGAATGTTCCTGTCGTGACTTGTCGACGAGGGGGAAAATTTGCCCCTACTCAGTCCGACTAAACTCTGTATATTATTTGACCTCCGACACACAATTAGTAACTGAGCAACCCATGATACTTTATTCGACTGCTATCACTGCCAGTTCACTGTGCACATTTCATTCATTTGGCAGTATCACGCAACGACGGGTGTTTTGTTCGAGTTGGGACTGGGCCGCAAGGATTCAGTGTGCTAGCGAATTTTTTGGATTTAATCGACTGGAGGCAGCTGCCGCGCCCAGTCGCCCAACCCATTATTTTCGAAGCTGACTTTTAATTTAATTCAAAAGTGTAGAAATTCAGCAACTAAAATGGGTATTTACAAAGGAGTGCGAGCACTTCTTCTATCAGCTTCTGCATACTACATGATGGCAGCAGCAGCGGCAGCAGCATGCGTTCATAAATCATGCACTTGTGACGATAAACCTGACGGCTATTACATCGACTGTGTTGGTCCCATCGATATCAGTCTCAATGAAACCCTACAGTTACTTGGAAATAAACGAGTCCAGCGAATAACATTCACAAATGTAACATTCCCGGTATGTTCTTTCTCTGCCTCAGTCCCTACATTAACTGTTACGGATTCCAAGATTATCACATGTTAGTATTTCGGACACACACCAACAATCCCGCACTGAGCCATTCGGCGCTCTGCCAAATTGTTTTATGATATGAATAATTACCCAAATTTTTTTTTTTTTTTTTGAAGCTGTTTTCCCCTAAATAGTTTCAAACTTGTCTTATCACGTCCATTCATGGATAGGACATCATCCCAAAACGGGGAGCGAAGAGGGAATGAGAGTTCCACCCAGAAGCATATAGCGCCTCTTCGAATTTTGCTGATACCTGTGATGGTGAACAAATGTCTTGCAGATAAGAACAAAATTTCATCTGCTATTAATGGAAATCAGGCTTAAAAAGTATCAAAATTACTCGAAATTTTTTGCTGGGCCAAGCAACAACAGGAGAACCAAACTGAAAAATTAGGATGATAAAACCCATTCAATTCTTAAGCCTACTGGTGGAAAATTTTGCATTATTAAACTGAAAATTCGAGTTGGGGTTCGCCACAGCTTTTCAGTGCCAGAATTAGGAATTTATACTGTTTAATTTAGAGGCTTGAACAGCTACCAACAGCCAATATACGATCCATTCAACTGATCTCATGCAACATCCAGTATATCACCAATACGACGTTCGTTAAACTAGCTGATGATTTAGAAGATCTAGCAATTACTCATAGTATGCTCACAACGGTACCATCGGTTGGCTATCTACGGAAGTTAATCTCGCTCAATCTCAATCACAATCAGGTGAGCTTTCTTTCTAAGAGTGTTTCAGAATGGAGCACTTTTTTTCTAGTCTATTGCATTTTCGAAATTCTGACATATATATTACAGTTGTCTGATTTACCGGATGATGCTTTGAAAGGCGCCAAAAATTTACGAAATTTACGCTTGGAAGGGAATAAAATTTGTTCGCTTTCAAGGTTCGTTTTTTCTTCGGTCATGGATAATTGCTTCCGTCTTTACGCATATGTTGGTAATGAGCTAAATGTAATACTTGAGTTTTTAGCTAAAATTTTCTCACAGTGCAAATGCACGAATTACTTGTCGGATTTTGAACGACATGTAAAGTATAAAAATTGCAATTGAAATTAGCTCAAACCTACAGTTTTGAGAGTTTTCCAAAAATTTCACTGTTTAGGTTTCTTTGGCAAAAAAAGCGTTGCAGGGCGCCATCATTCGAGCACTGGTGATGTACGGCAGTTCTCAGCTTTTGAGCACGAAATCAGCACAGTGCACGACATTTTGAAATCCTTTTTTTCAGTATTTCTGGGCAGTTTCGCTTAATAAACCCCAAAAAATTCATTACAAAAGTGGACAATTACACCCTATGCACCTCGGAATTCGGAAAACGATCCCAGACGTAGCATTTTTCTTTTAAATTGCGCATTGTTTTCGCCTGGCGGCCAACAGCTAGCAACAGAGAAGTTATGGAGTGACCTTGAACCAATTTCATCTAAGAATGCGCGCCCTATCAGCAACAACAGCAACGACGAGATGTAAATCGACTATTAACTATCAACAATTGAAAATTAGGGGTACATTTTTTCGAGACTCCACTGTTGCACAATAACGGGGACCTTTGCCAGTGACCTGTAGCCATCGGTTTTACAGGAAATATAAACGAGTTCTTACACAGTTCTCCAAAAGTTTTTATCGCTAACGGCGCTGATTTTTCCTGAAGATGCTTCTAGCTATACAAATCGAGACTGGCCGCCAGGACTGTCAGGAAAAATCTCTTCAAAATTCCAGTTTTCTAGCTCTGCTGTTTCCCGAGTTAGCAACTTATCTGAAAAAAAAAAAAACTTCCCCGGGAACGTAAGTGGGAACAACACTTACCCGGTATCTGGGTTTGAGCTCATTAACACCTACGTGGACGGGAAACATCTCCTTAAAGTTACAGCCTTCTAGCTTTTCTGGTTTCCAAGCCAGCAACCGAAAAAAAAAACTTTTCCGAGCCCGTAAGTGAGGACCACGTGTACTCGCTGTCTGGGTTTGGAAACCTTAGCGCTTAGAACATCCCCTTAAAATTACAGCCTTCTGACTTTTCAGTTTCCCGAGTTAGCAACTTACCCGAAAAAAAAATTTTCCATGGTCTGTACGTAAGAACCACATATGCTCGGGGACTGGGTTTAAACTTATTAAGACCTACATGGGCGGGGAACACTTCCTTAAAAATTCAACTTTTTAGCTTTTCCAGTTCCCGAGTTAGCAGCTTACTCGTAAGAAATCTGGCGGACCCGTGCGTAGGTATCATGCGGGTAAGAGTGCCCAATTTGGGGATGGAGGCCCAAACATGCATGTAGATTAAGTTCCCAAAGTTTCAACTCTGTAGCTTTTGTGGGTCTCGAGATGAAAAATCGGTACAGATGAACACACAGACGCACACACATACACACAGCTAACCCCTCGTCAATATGCGTTTTCTGCACTGCACAGATGCAAAAAACGCATAAAAACTACGATTTTTGCAACAAACAAATAAGAATAAAAAGTTCAGAAGCCTTGCTGTACTTCGAATTTTTCTTTAAATTGCATGACTCAGCAAGAACCAGTCATGCTCATAGGATTATAGATTAGCCGACCAGTCCAAATGAACTACCATGGAATTCGAACCCAAAAATTACATCGGGCATGCCCGGGGATGCTCTCATTAAAAAAACAGTTTCCCTGGATGTTTTTTCGGCTTCTGCATTAAGTTTTTTAAAGCTGTTTGCGCCTGCAGATCGTCACAAATATTACAGACAAAATAGCTGAAATGTAAAAAAGATCAACCTGTGTTACGAGCGGTTAAACGTACATTCAGAAGGCTGCCGTACTCAGGGACATTAGGGGGAAAATGCAGTCACCGCTTACTCCCCACGTTTAGGAAAGACTGAAGCAGAAGGATTAGAAACCAAATTCTTTCGTGTAGAAGAAAAGACAAAAAGAGGAATCTGGCCAGGAGAGGGTGTAAAATTCAGCCAGAGAAACCCAGCGAGCTGCCAAAAAAAGCTCAAAATTTAGCGGGGAAAAAAAAAGAAGCAAACTGAGAAGATCCTAAGTAACACTAAAAAACTAACGACAGGGTTGGAAGCGCCAATTTTAGAATTAAAATGGACGAAAAATACCACAGTAACCGGCGCGCAGAAACTAGGACCTGCACTACTTGGGAAAGGAATGCAGAAGGCCGGGCGCCAAAACTGAGATGACACCCCATTTGCTAGAAGCTGGTAAGCGTTCACAGTTGTTTCTGTGTGATGATTCTAGCAAAATTTTATAACTTATTTTCCGAAATTTCAAAAAAAAAAAAAATAAACAGTTAGAATCAAAATAAAACATTTAGCAATTCACTGGTGGATGTCAAAAACGTTCTGGAGTTGCTGGATTTGAGCGACAACTGCTTAAGCAATGTGCCGGCTCAGCATCTGCGTAACTGCATTCAACTTATGTACTTAGATTTATCCAATAATGCTATCAAGGAAATTGCCAATTTCGAACTTATGAATTTGCCACAGCTAAAGGCTAGTTTCCGTTTCTGATGAACTTTTTGGAATTTCTGTTGAAGCTGCTGATGTCGCTAAAACTTGAAAATGGGCATCGTCCACTAGGCAGTGACCATCTTCCAATCCTCAGCAAAACAGTTTTTTTTTATCCAGCCCACTTTTAGCTTAATCAACGATGATTATTTACAGTTATTTTTAATTAAACTTGGGGTTTTTAAATTTTTGACACGGATTCTCGATTAATAAATTTTTTTCACAAAACTTATCCATGATTGTTTACAAAAAATTTAGATTTTTTTCGTGTTTTGTAAAAAAAAGAAAGATCAATTGCAGCTGATTTTTCTGCTCAAGAAGCGTGTCTTCTTTCTACAACACTGTCACACTGACACACATTTGAGGATGCATTTAAACAGCATGTGATCAAGGAAGAGACAGTGGAATGAGGTCAATGCCTGCTTACCCATCACAAATCCCGCAATTGATGTGCCCAATTGATTCGATAGCACCCAAAAATGATGGCCCACATTAATGGAAATTAATTTTCAGGCGAATATTTCGCCTAGTTCTAACGAAAACTTGAAACCCTCTTTTCTCATTTCACTCGATGTCGAAAGCGTACTCAGGCGCCGACGAAGCGAGTTACTGCGACCAGCAACTCGCAAGGCTGTTCGCAATTTCCCCAGCGACGGAGTTAAACCAAAAGTCAGAGGGCAAAACTCCAGCCGTGTAATATCTCACACCAAGCCGTCTTAAATGGTTAAAGAGTATACAGGGGCATAATTGAAGAAACATTGGAAACGGTGCCAAGCAATGGAATTTTGTAAAAAGTTTTTGTAAAAAAACGAGTAAGTACACAGGATCTCAAAAACTGTTTTAACGCTATATTTTATATCAGTGGCAAACAGTAAAGGCAACATGAAAGCTTGTGAAGCTCAGTCATCACCAAGACAGAGAGCGCTATTTTATAAATTTCAGCACAGAAAGCGGTCAAAAAGCACTAAAAACTTTTGTTCTACCTCACTTCCATTTCAGGAACTGCGGTTAAACAACAACCAAATAAATAACATAGCACCAATGGCATTTATGAACGTACCTCTGCTGGAGCACCTTTACTTACGAAGCAATCGAATTTCATCAATTGAAACTGGTCCACTTTTCCAAGTCTTCAAAAGGCTGGAGGTGTTGGATCTCTCTGACAATAGCTTCACAAAGGTTAACTTATGCAACAATTTCACAGCCAAAAATTTCTAAAGTCAAGTTCGAAAATATTGCTGGGCAGATTTCAAGAGAATTTTTTCCGAAATTCGTTTCAGATACCGTCCTTCAAGGAACTATCAAATCTTCGACAAATACGTCTGGACCACAACAACATCACGCAAATTGAAACGCTCGCATTCAGTTCTAATTCCAAACTTCAATTCATCAGCCTGGAGGTTCGGAAGCAATAAAAATTTACAGGAAACATTCCAAACTTGTTAACATGATACCTCAAGACTCAAAAGTGAGTGCTGATGTATGTAGGTCACTGCCAAACAGTACACTACGACCCAGTGCGCTAATGCGCCTTTTGGGATGAAAACTTCACAGCTGAACGTAAGAAATGACATTCCAAATAGGACAATCCCGTTCAGAAGATATATGAATATATCCAATCTGTCAAAGGACAGATTATTCAAGTATAGTAATCTCTTTCGAATTTACGCGTTCTGACTCGGCATAAATTCCAGCTAAAAAATCAAGACCTCTATGATAGGTGGTATAATCGAAAATAGCAACAGCAAACGCCGAGCTCCTACCCCAAAGGTTACTTCTAACAAAGCTGACAGCGGTTTTCCAGTACCAATTTACTACCAAACGAATGAACAAATTGTCCAGAGAAGGTTTTTCCCACAAACGAAGTGGAACCACTGACCATTAGCACAGCAGCTGCGATGTTTGCCACTGCAAAATGCCCATCAAACCGTACTGTAACGATAGGTAAAAATATCGCTACAGGTAGCGAATTTCGCAAATATCGAATAAAACTACAGGTGTGTCGCGAAGGTATAACTAAGCAAAGATTTATACTAAACTGTACATTGGAATTCTTTTTTCCGTTGTTTTTAAATCTTACGCTAACGGGGCTCCTCTCCTATATCACTGTTACCCATGTATAGTGCTGACGATGCTTCAAGCTTTCAGGATAACCAAATAAGTTCCATCTCAAGAAATAGCTTTGATTCATTGGATGAACTTGTTGCCCTCAATCTCGCCAATAACTCCATCAAAACAATCGGTAAGTTCAAAAACATCCCATCACAATGCATTTCACATAATCAAGGGAAGCCCATATTAGACCGCCCTCCTTGTACTTCTGACCAAACGAAAGTCCCACTCGTTAATGTTTCACGTATCCGTTGGAAGGATAAAAAACATCACTAATGCATTGGTGCTGATGCTAGAATCACTATCACTGAAACTGCAAAAGAAGTGTTTTACTCAAAAAACGAGGTCTAAGAAAGGCCGCAATGGGTAGCAGTTGCCAGTGTGACAATTTTGCAAAAAAAGAAAAAAAAAACTCTGTATTTTTTTACCAGAAATAAAATTGAAAATCATAAATAAAACTGGCTATCGCGAAAATTTTTCTAGAGCGTGGTATGCTGGATGGTATGCGGCAACTTCAACAGCTTAATCTCCGGAATAATTCGTTAAGCGTTCTCGAAAAGCTCACATTTACATCGGTTCCACAGATCACAACGTTGGATTTGGCCCATAACGCACTTTATAAAATCGAGAAGGATGTCTTTAAACCGCTCAAAAACCTATTCTGGTTGGACCTATCATCGAATCGCATCGAAACATTGGAAAATAACACGTTTAAGGATAAAATTGCTAACATCTTGCTAAACGGTATGACCTCAAATAATGTTTGTATCTTGTGAACTAAACAGAAAGGACGAGAGATTTCTGGTCTTGCTGCATTCAGCTCCTGATCACAGTCGATCTAGCAAAACTGGTAGGGAGCTGCATACCACTAAACTTTCGGGCCCGATTCGAATTTCTGACTTTAGAAATCAGAAAGCTATTTTTATAATGAACTTTAAAATTTCGCCTCCACAGATAATCCGCTTTGCTGTGACGAGAAGCTGAACTGGCTGGTTACGTACCTGGTTGCAAATCAAGTCCGTACATTCTTACCGTACCAGACGGAAGTACTGTGCGCCGGACCAGAGAAGTATAAGGGTGTTCGACTCAAGGAACTAATGATTGTTGAGGCAAATGAAACGATAAGCACGGGAGAACACAATTCTGTTGATAACGACAGAAACGGTGATATCGGTAAATTCGAACATGCTTCTTTTTTGCAAAAACTATATAAGCTCGGTTACGGAAGTAATCAAAATGAAATTCACCATGGAGGAAATTGATTTTTTAAAGGGCGAATTTTACTAGCAAGACGCCAGCCACTTGGTAATTTGATTTCGAAATGGTTACCTGCTAGCCATGGAGGTTACCATCTAGTTTGGTGCGTCAAGTAAAATGATGGAAGTAGTGCCTTTTTCCCATGGTAGCCGTTCGAAAACAGCAGTAATGCGCTCGAGGTAAAAGAAACCAAGCCATAAGCACTATCGCGGCAACAAAAAGTACTTTTTAAATGCAGCAAGTTGCAGTCTCATCATGCGCGAATAATGGCAAAGGATTACAGGTCGCGATCTCTTAGACAGTATTTTTCCCGCCGCAGGCAACAGATTGTTTCCCCCATTGACGCCACCGCTGCCGATGAGTCCACTGGGAGTTGCACAGGCTGTTGGCGCGCTTACGCATGCTATTCCATCGGTCAAAAATATCGCTGATGCCAACTACTTGTCAAAATCAGGCGACGAGAGGCCTCATGACGTACAAAAGCTCAACACTGCAATTCATCGGGTAAAAATTTCAAAATTATCAGCAGAAAACAAACAATTTCCATTAAACACAATGAGAATATGTGGAAACTCAATGTTTGCTGGATTTCAGCTTGCTTTAGTCAACTAGTCAAGTCAGTCAGCTGAAAGTTCTCTTCATTCGTCAGATAGACAGTAATTGACCTTACTAGCTCGGACTGTTGATATGTTATTGGCAGTGTCATACGTTAAGTACAACAATTCTAGGTATGCTCCACTGTCAAAGGTGTCTAATTCTAATCAGACTGAAATCTGACACTTGGTCTGGCTCTGGGCTTGTACTGTCGACTTGACCGGAAAAGTTAATAGCGCCAGCTTTTCTCAGCTCGCCGCACCACAACAGTGAATGCTAGCGCGGTCATGCTTCCTTCTTGCAGAACGACAAATTAATGCTGTAAGAACTGAGGTACAAGTCAGCACAGGTGCAGAACACATTAAATTTTGAAACCGATCAAGCCAAAAAAACAAACTTTTAATAAATTATATTACCCTCGGAAGTGCAAAAACTCCAGCTTTTTACAGTTCTCCGCGCCGCTGATCCGAGTTGCAACAAGTGGACAGCCAGCAGCATCAGATATCGAACAATTCATCCAGGCCATTCCAAATCTTATTGTTAATGTACCGGGCATTGGCGATGTAGATGTTAGCAAGGCAAATTTTGATTTCATAATGGTTTTAGAGCCAGTTACTGGGATTGCCTGTGCGTTTATTCAGGACAGATGGGCAAATCCGCTCCCTAAGTCATTACTCCTGAGGGATTTAGGTAGCTTTAACCTTCGATGTCACCCAGATAAGCATGCGCTCAGAGATCAAACGCAAATTTGTCTTTACTGGCTCCTGCCCCAGCAAATCAGGTTCTACTCCCCGGTGTTACTTGTGTTCGATTGCTAATCGCTTTTTCCATTTGTGAATGCTGAAATCGCCGTTACATTTTACTTTCTGCTAGAAAGAACAGCACGCGGAAATGGCCCAAGCGGTAACACCTGCAACCAGCAAGCCTATCCATAAATCCTTCTTTCTAGGTCTGCATTAAAAGCAAAATGAAAATGATCCAAACTGCATCAACATCAGTTCTGCACCGAAGTGAATCAGGGGCTCATAGTTGGGTCAGACTCTCTCATTGCAGGATTTGAACCATCGACTTCAGTACCTGAGAAAAGCGCAAATCCTCAGTGTGATAAGCCTGCCAGCCTCCCGTTACGTATACGTATTAGGTTTTTGGGGTGGCGCTATATGATTATGCTTTCCTCCAAAAGCAACATCGACTGGCAAGCGACATCAAGATTATGCGAAGCGCGAAACGTGCACCACTATACATTGCACTTAATTATTTTTTGAACTCAAAATGATATGTTTTGCGTCTCAACAGTTTGGTGAACTGCCACCCGCAAACCTTACATACGAAAAAAAGGAATCACGGAAGCCCAAGTGAATAAATCGCTGAGAAAATGGAGCTCCAAAAAAAAAAAAAA